TCAAACCAAACACGCCTGCAGCATGCACAGCAGTGTCACTTACTGGACACCCCAAAATGTTTCACCTGACCTGGACATCTTGCGTGTGTTTCCAGGGTAACTGTCAATCCATCGTCCGTTCCGAAACACTGTGTAATTACGGGATTTGCCATGCGACAAATCACAACATGGGTGTAACTTTCTTTGAGGGTGGCATTTTTTGGCTTGGTTTGAAGGGCAACTAAAGAGGAACCGCGCGTGTTTGCTGATTCCCTCTACCCTCTTCCCAACAATCTTGGCAGTGGACAGGAGGGCCCAAGTTGTCGACTTCCAGGATCGTTGGACACAGGGTAACAACTACCCTACAAAGGGGGTTTGCAACCAACACTTTTCATGGACGGTCTTTCCCTTGTTCTGGGCTGGTAAAGGGCAAAAAACCTTACATGGGTGTGATCTCAAGATGAGAAAACCCCAAAACGTGGGGTTTCATGTGGGTTTCCTCCTACACAACCCCCAAAAGGGTACTGACTCCAAAAACGACGAGCCATCCACCTCAAGTCAGAACCTAACGGGGGGCATAATTTTCCGCCGAGAGACCGTAGAACTGTTCTGCAGCTGGAATTCCACCTGGAAAGCGGAGGCAGAGAGACCCAGCCTCTGCCCTTTTGCCCCAGCCTATACCTTAGCAGCTGCCCCGAACCAGAAAATATGCTTGATTCTGGTCCATCTTCAGTGAATCCTAGCATGTGAAATCAAGATATATCCCAACATCGACAGCTACGGCGTTTGGCTGGAGGCTTTCCTTGTCGCGCGGCACCCCGGCTTTCCAGCCAGCATGGGTGACAACCGCCAGAGGCAACAGGCCAGCACTCTGGCTTAGACGTTCAGAAACAAAGACAACGGAAGCACATGAAAAAAGGAGAACAGACAAACCGTTTTCTCCGCACCAGTTGCTGGACTGGGCCAAAACCCGGTCAAAACAGCCGGTTCCAGGGGGGTGAAAGGCGCTATCAAGGCTGCCCCTAGATTACCCTAATTTTTAAGGCTTTTGTTTACATCTGTACAAGGCGCACCCGGCGCACCCTGCTGTGCCATCCCTTTCTTTCAAGACAGGGCGCCCGCAGCGAGGTGGAGAAGAGGTACCTGATCAGCACTTTCCATTCAGGCCTGTGCAAGCTTGGGTGATCCTAAACAGTTCTTACAAATGGGTCTTAGGATGCTACACAAATGATTGTCCTTCCGTACAACCCGTTGAGTTTTTGAACTAGTTTAGATAACCCTGAGAAGTAGGGATAAACCGTCACCAATATGTTGCTCTGACAATCATGGCTTAATTTGGGTTCCCCGCAAACCGATGTACTTGCTTGCAGGCCCTTATAGTGGATTGCCGACACCATTTCCCTGACACTGAGGCGACATGGTAGTGAGACAACGAAACGAGGAACAGAATGCGAACAAATCATGAACAGCAACCAGCTGAAGCAGGAACTTTCTTCATACTGGTCTATCCTGGGTGTGGGTCCCCAATTCAATGCTTGTCCAGTCTCCCCCAATGAGGGCAAATGGAGCTAAACAAGAGGGTCAAAATACCCCCTCCGTCCAAAACATGTTTCTCCAAAATGGCTTCCACTACCCCCAAGCCACCCCAAAAGCGTAGTTATCTTTATATAGCTGTGGCTATATGCCTGGCTTGTTAGCGGAAACCCACCCGAGGCAAGCAGCGGAATGTCCGCATCATGCTGGTTCCAGGCTGCCAGTTTGCAGCAGAAGTCATAGTTGAACTCCTCAGGCACCAGCTGTTTGGTGCGTGAAAGCCTGGACTCCAGGCTGTTCCAGGGAGTTGGGCGATTTGTCAGGTGGTTTGGGTCTGGTGCTTGGGGGGGTGCGTTCCAAAGGTAGTTTACCCATTTACGTTCTGATTCAGGGTTCATCACGCCTTCAAACCACTAGAGCTGAGACCATGCCCACATTCCAATTATTTGGGCCCTACCATTGTCATTGGCCATAGGTTCAGGCAGAATCTCTGATCCCACTGCTCCCAGAACATCGCCCCATCGTAAGAACTGATTCAAACCAAGGGTGGCTGGTTGAAGTGAAACTCCTGGGTTTAAACCCTACGGAATCCACTGGATGAGTGTGAACATTATGGAAGGGCTCAGAGTCACATCCCTCCCATTCCCCGCATGCAACATGACCGTGTCAAAAGTATAGGGACCTCTTAAGGAATGCCTTCAGCAACTTCATTCCACATTCCGCATGCAAAAGCCCCGGGCGGCTTTTTGATGCAATTGCACTTGCTCCTTTGGCGAAAACCAAGTGCCCCACGCTGCCACACGCAAGTTGTCAAGGTGTTTGCTTGTGCCTTGCAGGGCACCAATTGTTTTGGGGGTGCAAAGAGACTCCCACAGGGACGCCGAAAAAAACCTGGAGGTCCCGGTTTGACGCCAAAAGTGCGGCGACCCCGGGCGGCTGTGGTCGTCGGATCGGCCAAGGGGCGCCGTTCCAGCAGCGGGCGTTGCCCTGGGGCCCGAAGTTCGCCGGGCCTGGGAGATGTTTGCTGGGGATCTGAAAGGCCCCCAGTTCGGAGATTCGGCTGGTTGCAGAGGGACAACCCAGGAATGACCTCAAGGGAAACACAAGACCGCAAGAAGCCGAGAACTTCGGCTGGTTGAGAAGAAACAACTCAGGAATGACTCAAGCTGGTTGAAAGGTAAGACTTGAGCCCGGCGGATGCCGGCCTGACTCATCAGATCCCTCAATCTCAGAGGCGTAGGCTTGGCGCCTGTTCCCATCCAGGGTGTGAGGCTTTGGGGTCTGGTGGGCTCAAGCGAAAGCAAGAGGGCTCCACCCGTTGCCCAGTGCCAGGTGGGCCGTGGTGAGGAGTCTCTGAATAGATATTTTGGTATCCGAGCGCGCTTGCGGTCCATATCCTTGTTCTGGTTTGGGAGGTCCATGACTATCAAAACCCAACCGAAAGCACGGTGCGCTGACCCAGGTGCATTTCGAGACAGGCCAATGGGTTGCAAGGGGCAAAATGAGCTGATGTTCCGGTGGTCGAGCTTCAGACATGGAAACCGGTGCCAACAAACGAGCTGCACCATCATTTGGCCCGAACTTCAAGGAAGCGACGCTTGACCATTTGGGCGCTTGGCGTTCTTGTTTGCCTGTTTGTATATCGTGCTTGTTTGCTTGCATGTCTGCCCGTGCGCTTGCTTGCTCTCTTGGTTGCTTGCCGGTGTTTGTTTGCTTGTTTGCTTGTTTGTTCCCCCCTCCCCCTCCAATTGGGGAGTCTGAACATGCAAGTGGGCTGTTGTCTCAGCCGAAACAGGTCCCCAAGCGCACCAACCGACCACCTTTCATTGCCCGACTGCAGGCAAGTTGCAGCACCAGTTCCAGGTGAAGTACCGGTCTCGGAACGTGCGAAAACTTGGACACCTCTAGGTGAAGTTCCTATTCCGTTCTCCAAATGGATGGTCTTGGTTTTACAGAATCTCACCGCAGCCAAAGTGATAGGACACCTCCCTTGGTTGGGCCCCTGAAGGTAAAATCAGTGTTTACGACTCACAACAAACCCCCCAGTGTACTAATCTGTACTGGCGGACCCGTTCGAGATCCCAACCAATCCCTTTAGTGAGGCTACAATTAACCCGGCCCCAAATAATACCTATAGAGGGAAAGCCCTCAAATTGGCTTCAGGTTCAATTTGTTTTAGATTCTCCCCACATTCCCCCACAAGTAGCAAACAGGGTTCACACACACACACACGGTTCCTCTTTAGAACACCTTGAAATTGGTTATGAAGCACATGCAGGAATCAATAGGATGTGCTGCTCCCCTCAGAAATCAAAGTCAACCACGACCTCTGCCTTTCCAGTTTCCAGATGTCCAACGTTAGGGGCGTTCCCCTAAGTTTCCCTTCAACACCTGAAAAAAAAGGAGAGTACCCAAAAGGGAAACTGCCATGAGGGAGTGAGCGGACCCAGGCTTTCCCAAGGCTTCCGAACGCTCCACAAGAACTCCTCAGGTTCCCCTCCGCATCCAGCCGCCTTACCCGCCGGGGCTCCAAAACCTCAGCTTGAGCCAACCCCACGACCCAGAAATTCGCCATGCGCGCGCTGGGCTGCCAGACCGAAGCACGCCACCTTCGCCAGGAGGCCCGCCATGGCCTGAGGAAGCCGCTGACGGCCTGAAAGATCCCTTGCCTTAGGGGCCCTGGGGGGTGGGGGGTTGCTGAGGGGTGAGCCTGGGACCTGAAAAATCGCTTGGGGGCCCAAGGCGCCTTTGGGAGGGGGGGGGGAGGTTGCTGAGGGGTGGGCCACTGGTGGGCCTGGGAAGGGAGGGCTCATGTGGGCACATTAATTCGAGCAAAGACACACATACCTCTCGCAACCCTGCCTTTGCATGGCATCGGCCGATCGGCCACACCACGCGCGTCCGGCCAATCAGCTGATCATTTTTCTGTGATGTACTCAACCGGGGATCCCCAGTCAAACTTCATGGACAATCCAAACCTTAGCTTGCCGTGTTCAAAGTCAGTCCCTGGTTGCGTATCAGTGAGTAGGGAAATGGCTTCACGAAACACGCTCAAGAGAAGGACAGTCCAAAGACATCAAGGGCTGCTTGCATTGGATTGCGAAGCCATTGATCCAGGTGTGTGTGTGTGTGTGTGTTCACTCATGCACCTCCTGCAGAAAGACTACAGTCCATGTGTCACGTTTGTTCAGGGGACGCAAGTCCACTTCTAGGCTGTGTACAAGCTTGTCTTTCCAGACTTAGCTTGAGCCACGAAAGCAGCAATGCTTCCACGCGTCCGAAGCTCGACATGAGACCTGCGTTGGGCAAAATAAAGGGGATCCCAGATTCATGTGGAACCCCCCCGACATCCGCCGTTGTTTGGAGGGATCATATGTTTTCAGGGACCCCGTTGTTGGGGGCATCCTCAAATTTTCGCCGCGACGAACATCGGCCGGCTTCGGGTTCGGGGCCAAAGCCGTATGGCCGAAAGACGCTGAGGAGGCCACACTCCATCACCGCATTGCAGAAAACGATCCGGGCTGACCTGAGAAGCCGAGAACCGGCGCGTCTCATCGGAACCTGGCATAAGTGGGAGGTGTCCAACCTCGAGATCCGTTCAAAGCCAACCTCTAAAAAAGTAATTCATTGCTCTGATCAAGGCCAAGGAACCGCCAGTTGCTCTTGGAAGGTTGGGGGATGTTGAAAGTATTTCCTGCAGATTGGTGTCGTTTCTGTTGGGAAACGCGCCTTGGCATGCCGACACTGGCGACAGGGTATTTGTGGTTGGCAACTCCCATGGCAGTTGCGGCAACACACGCCGACGTGTGCGGCGCACCTCTTTTTCTTCCTCGGTGGAATGGCATCAAAGAGTCCAAGCTTGCTGTTTATCATTCACCTGGGCGTGCCTTTTTTGGGGCGACGCTCAGAAGGGTTGTCCTTTTGGTGTCCCTTCAAACCCCACCCTAAAAAGGGTACCGGCGACTTGGAAAGTGGTCCGAGACTGAGGAGGCGGCGTCAGCGCACCCTGGCAAGGGCTCAAATGGAAACAAGTCCCCAGAGTACCCTTTGCAGGGGAACACAAATGGCTTTGTCTCAACATACAAATCCCCAAGGGTAGTTTCCTTTGTCCTTCTCAAACACCACCCCATAGAGGGAACCAAACACACACACACACAAATGGTGGCCATGTGTTGGGACACCAAAAGAAAGACAGTGCAAAGTCTGGCCGTCCCAAACTGGGCGGCCTATTCGGCGACCTTTGCAAGCGGAAAAAAAGAGCAACAAGCAGCAACACAACACCAGGCCTGGCATTGCCGCATTGCTTTTGATTTGGGACATGCCACGGGCCAATTAATTGATAAGATAAACCACACAAGGTAAGAATATGTCATCTTATCTTTGACCAGGCATCTGGATGCCCTGGTCACTCTAGCGGCCCGATTCGCTGGAACTTGGGATCCAAGTCCTTTGCTTAGGATATCCTTTTGCGTTTCGAAGCGACACATGGGGTCCTCTGTGTTCGAACATGTCCATTTAGTTGTTCAACCCGTTGCGTCTGAAGATCCTGAAAAGATAAGCATCCAAAAAGTCAATACGTGAAAAGTGAGTGGTGGTATGTCGGTGGGACTTGAATGGAGCCGTCCAACCTTGGAAACTGTCAAAAGTTGGTACATGTCTGCATTTCGCCTTAAAACACATTGAGTTGCATGCTTACTACCGCTTAGAGGGGTCCCTGCTTTTCATGCATCCGAGTATGGACACAATGAACCTGAATGCAAAAGTGCTTTAGCAGGTTGTCCATGTTAAGTTTGGACAGATTCAAGGATTGCCTGCTTTCGGCCTGGACAACACAATCGTTTCTTTCCTTAACATCCATTTTCTTAAGTCAACTGGAAAATAAAATAGCTCCAGTTGTGATAGATTCCCTTAAAACCAGCAGGGACAAAAAAAAAACAATCTTAAACAATGCAAGTTAAACTCTGGTAAAATGCTGAAACCGAGTCCTTTTAAAAAGGGCTCACTTTGAGTCCGCTTTTCTGGACTTGCTTTCCCTGGGGCGCATGGTTACGGACGGATCCAGGCAGGTTGCAAACCAAAATCATCGTCGTTATCACTTGCCCAGAAGGTGTGGGTGTGTCGCTTTTGCAAAAACTATACGTTTTTGTCGTTGCGTTTGAAGTGCATAGTTCCCGAACTGTGAGACGATGTGAGGCCTTTTCAACCCCGTACCCAATTTTCGGCGGGGTTTCACAGACCTCATGTACCTCAGCCTAAATCCTCGAACTACCCTAAAACATGGAACCTCCTCCCACAATTTTAGGTCAACTAGGAAGGGTCCAGGTACATGCAAGGGCTTGCCTACTCGACACTCCCCGCCGCACGCGGAGCGAGCGCTTCCGGGCGAAAAACCGCGGACGCCGCCCGCGCCATGCCCGCGAAGCCCCGAGACTCGATACTGTCGAAGAGCTGAACCTGAGCCAATAGTTTGGGCGACGGCACCGGTGAGCCGAGCCCCGGGAATCAGCGTCCACTTTTAATTGGAGGGACGCCCAAACAATTTTTGTTCAAAGAGGGTGGTCTTAAAAGACACGGCGTCCCTGCATTCACAGAAGTTTGCTCGAAAAGCCAGCAAACAGCCGCGGACCAGCTTCACAAGCAAATGTCTCCCGGAACAGGAGGTCCCACAAAGCGGGTGGCTCCCTTTTACTGTCTCTGTTGAAACCATCCAAAAGGAGGTCCTTCAACTCTTTTTGGGACACATGCACACACAGAGAGAGAAAAACAACGGAAACACAACCAAATAACCAGCAAGAGTGAGCAGTGGGCCAGTTGCAAGTCATGTATGCTGAAGGCTCGAGGCAAATCCGATTTTGTCAGGGGGATGGACACCTTTCCAAAAGCTAAGCCAATTGCATCGAAGGCCGGCAATTGGAAACAAAGCAAGTGTTCTCTCCATGAGTGGCACTTCTCATGCACGAGGGCACTCGAAACATCGTTCTTGTGCCA